CCACATCAAAAGAGGATTTCATCTTTGAAGAGCTATTGCCGGTTGCTCTATTTAAGGGAAACATACCCACCCGGTGCCATCTTAGAAGAAGGGGAAGATCAGCAACCCGTCTTGGGAGATTCCACTGTCCTGGCATTAGAGGATGCTCAATTTTAGAAGAGGCATCTCCACTTCGTGGTCCATGTTAAAGCAGGACCTGCCTTAGAAGAGGCATCCCCATCGTCTATCAAACTAATTCAGAACAGAAGAAAGAAAACTCACTTTCAACGATAGCGTCCTGGAGCATTCTGATTTGTTCTTCAAAAACAGAGTCCAGTTTTTTGGGAAGATCCCCTGGGAAACCAAGAGATCCAACAGGTCAGAAATATGAGAGCAGAACAACAAACCAGCATTATTGTCAAGCTATCAGCCACCCAACCAAATGCAATTAGTCAACAGAATATTTTTTTTCCAATTGCTATTTATGGCTGCGAAACCTGGACTCGGAAAAAGGCAGATGGGAGAAGGGTGGAAGGCTTTGAACTGTGGTGCTTGAGACAATCATTACCATAGACTGCAACAAAGTCCTAGACCCATGATGGCGAATCTATGGCACAGGTGCCACAGGTGGCATGTGGATCCCTCTCTGCGGACACACGAGCCATTGCCCCAGCTCCACTCCACTGCGCATGTGTGTGCCTCCCACCGGCAAGGTGATTTTCGGGTCTCTGCCACACAGTGAAAGCGCAGGGGGTCACGCGTAGATGTTGGTTCCTACTTGTTCAGCCTGGTTTCGCCGAGTAGATAATAACTTGGCCAGACATATGCCCGAGCCGGTTCTATCCTCGGCATTGCCATCTTGATTTGCTGTTCTGCACATGCACAGAACAATCTTCATTGAAAAAATGTATTTTTTTCCCTTTCTAATGTGCGCCTGCGCAACCTTTTTAGGTGCAAATGCACACGCGTGTGGAGCGTGTGTCTGGTACAAGTGAAGTGAGCGCATGCAAAAAAATTTGTGTGCCGAACTGGTAGTAATGCTGGCAGGAACTCACACCATGTCACATGTGCATGTGCAGGGGGGAGGGGGAGCATGGGGTAGCACATGTGCATGCACAGGGATGGCAGGGTGCATGCAGAGTGTCACGCACCCATTGAATTATGGGTGAGGGTACGCAAGTGCGCTCTGTCACACACGCTTGATTGCTTTTGGCATGCGGTGACAAAAAAGTTAGCCATTATTATTCTAGACCAGAGATGGCGAACCTTTTTTGGCTTGCACGCCATAAGCAGGGGGAGCACAGGGGGGTCATGCACAGGCGTGTCTCACCCATAATGCGCAACCCCCCCATCGCGCATGCATGCATGACAGGCGCAATCCCCCATTTTTTGCATGCTTTTTTCACCCTCCCCAAGCTCCAGAGGCTTTATAGGAGCCTGGGGAGGGCAAAAACAGCCTCCCCCACCCCCCTGGAGATCCTCCGGAGGCTTCAGGAGTTTCCCGGTAGCCTCCGGAGCACAAAAAAACGGCCCTACAGGCAAACCGGAAGTTCGGGAACGGACTTCCGGTTTGCTCGTAGGGCTATTTTTAGTCTTCCAGAGTCTTCAGGGACCTTCATGAGGCTTCCCTGAAGGCTCTAGACAACTAAAAACAGCCCTATGAGCAAACCAGAAGTAACTTCTGGTTTGTCCGTTGGGTTATTTTTTTGTCCTCTGGAGCCTTCAGGGAAGCCTCCGGAAGGCCCATGAAGGCTCCGGAGGGCTTAACCCGGCCCTAAGACCAAACCAGAAGTCCGTTCCCAAACTTATGGTTTGCCCGTAGGGCCGTTGTTTTGCACTCCAGGGGCTTCAGGGAAGCTCATGAAGCCTCCAGAGGGCCTCTGGGGTTACAAGTTGGCCACGCCCACCCAGTCACATGACTGACAAGCCACTCCCACTTGGTCACATGGCTGGCAAGCCACTCCTACCCAGTCACACGGACAGCAAGCCACTCCCACAAAGCAGGCCACACCTACAGAAGAGGTTCTAAAAAAAAATGGGGGGGGGCTGTTTTCACCCTCCCAAGGCTCCTATAAAGCCTCTGGAGCCTGGAGCGGGCAAAAAATGGCTTTAAAAAAGGCTGAACTCAAATGGCAAATGGCTCTGCGTGCCACCTGTGGCACACATGCCATAGGTTCGCCATCCCGGTTCTAGACCAAACCTCCCCCCAAAAAAGTCGAACTCAAAACCATCAAACAAAGGTAATCATAGTTTGGCCATGTCATGTGAGCTGACTCACTCGAAAAGTCATGTTGGAAGTGATCAGCGGACAAAAGAGAAGGGGACCACCCTAGTACCTTGATTGGGCTCTGTAAAGGATGACATTGGGATGACCATAGATCAGAGGTGTCAAACTCGATTTCATGAAGGGCCGCATCAGGGTTGGGTTTGACTTCAGCGGGACGTGGCAGGCGTGGCCAGGGTGGGTGTGGCCAGCTTGACGTCACTCATGTCAGGGACGCCTGCAGCGGCCTAAGTACTCTACCAGCAAAAGCGGGCTCCCAATCTCCATTTTCGGTTGGGACGCCCTCCTGCAGCCCTCTGCCAACAAAAACGGAGCTCATACGCCGCCTTCCCAAGCTCTGTTTTCGCTGGCAGAGGGTGGCAGGAGGCCGTCCCAGCCGAAAATGGAAATTGGGAGCCCGCTTTCGCTGGCAGAGGCACTGCGGGCTGGTCCTTCATTGTTTCCAGGGCAGCCCCGCTGGCCAGATCTAAGCATCCCACGGGCCGGATCCTTGAGCCTTGAGTTTGACACCCCTGCCATAGAGGATCTGAAGGAGGCAGTGCAAGTAGTGGGGCATGGAGAATGCTGATCCATAGAATGGCAAGTGACAGACATGACTCAGTGGTTGATGCCAAGCAATCCAATGCATGAATGTTTGGGGACAGCTCTGCTGAAATGTAAAAGGATTAGTAAATATGCAGAATATATTTGGATCATAGGATTTTCGGCTCTCCCAGAATTTGGACAATTCAGCCACCGGATTTACAAAATCACCTTGATTTAGGGAGATAATGGCTGAGATTACACTCCATACTGAGCCATAATATGATTTATTTGTTTTGACTTAATGCTGTACCTATATACGATTTCTCCATCTATTCTCTCTTTTTTTTAAGCATTACTGTTCCGCTGTCATTTCTGTTCTGATTCTGCGAATTCTAGTATGATGATTCAATTATAATTCCAGATAGGAAAAAAATTTCCAAACCTTTTTAAACCACTCAGCTCATCAAACAGCAAGTCTTGAGGATGGCAGGATTTTTTACTGTTTGAATTGAATAGAAATATCGTGCTTAAGTTTGGATTTCTAGGCTAGAAACCAAGATACTCTAAATTCTAGGCCAGTGATGACAAATGTTTTAGACACTGAGTGCTCAAACTGCATGTGCGTGTATGCCCAAACTGAAAGGTCCGTGCATGAGCAAATGTGTGCATGCACGGACATGCACGGACCAGTGGTGGGTTCCGAATCCCGTTGCAACGGGTACGCTGCCACAGGGCTGGGCATCCACCTTGGGCACACATACTGCGCATGCATGCGCACCAGTGGTGGGTTTCAAAAATTTTTAGAACCTCTTCTGTAGGTGTGGCCTGCTTTGTGGGAGTGGCTTGCTGGCCATGTGACCGAGTGGGAGTG